CATCTCTCCACATCATCATCTCTGCCTCCATCTCTGGCGTCACTGCTTCTCTGGGTAGGGTCCTGTACTCCGCTCCTCTCCCTTGATGGTCACAGGGACCTCCACTTCTGGACTGCAAAGTCAGTCACTATTCCTGACTCCTTTGGGATTGAGTGTTTTACAATTTCCTTTTACTTTCTCTACTGGCTTAAAACTATAACTCTTTATTTCGTATTTATTGTGGTTGTTCCAGGGTTTACAATATACAAGGGGGGAGCTTCAAAAAAATTCGTGGAAAAATTCCATTATCTTTCATTTTGATTTTCTCAAGAACTTTACATGTTTATCTTTTTACAATCTATTTTAAGACTAGTATTTCATATCACCTAGAGTATAAGAACTTTCCAACAATATACTTACATTTTCTCCTTCCACTCTGTATTATTTTTGTTATACATTTCACAGCTACATGTTTTTAAAATCCACACAACGGTGTTCTTGCTTATTTTTAAGCAGTTAAGTATTATTTACAACAATCTAATAGTGAGGGGAAAAGTCTTTTATATTTATCCACAAATTTATCTTGATTGTCTTCCTTTATATAGATACAGATTTCCATCTGTGTTTTCTTTTCTGGAGTGTTTTTTGTCTTGTTTGATTTTTGCCAGAAAAAAATAATTTTAGTATTACTTGTGCTGGCAGTGAAGTCTCTCAACTTTGGTTTGTCAGGAAAAACATCCTAATTTTTCCTTCAGTTTTTTGTGTTTGTTTGGTATGCAATTCTAGATTGACAGGTCGTTTTTCCCCAAGTATTTTTTAAATGTAGCTCTGTTTGTTCTCTTTCTGCTTGCTTAGTTTCTGATAAAAACTTCTGTAGTTCTTACATTTGTTTCTTTGTATGTAATGTTTCTGTTTTCCTCCAGCTGCTTTTTGAGATGTTTCTCTCTATCACAGGTTTTCAATAATGTAGTTATGATGCACCTTACTGTGGTTTGTTTATTTAGCTTGCAGTTAGCTGAGCTCCCTGAGCCATCTGTCTGTCCATTTGTTGTTGTTAAGTGCCGATGAGTCAATTCTGAC